AAACCGACTAGTATTGATAAGATATGTATGTCGACACTTGGACACAAGATTGCGGTAAGATGCTGGTGGACCTGTCTTGAATCTTTACGGGTGGGCATGGTATGTATCTTTGGACTGTGAGGGAAACATAGTGACAACCTCTGGGTATGTAACGTGCGATCCTACACTGGAATCTCACCCGTTCTGCGTAAAGATGCGAAATGATACGTGTGAAAAACGCGTGGACGCGATATGAAGTGGAATGGGTTTCTCGGTAGTGTTTTTGATATCATGGGTGAAACTCCGCTGTATATATGATGGAATCCCTTTTGTTGTTGTCGTTGATCGTAGGTAACACAGATAGCGGTTGGGGCTTTGCATACTCTTGCCCTAGATGCTACCTCTGGGATGGTGTACGTCCTCAACTGTATAGGTTGGAGTTGGTCATTGAGGATTTTCAGATACTCGTGGGGATGTAATGACGATGGTGCCCTTGGACGACTGGGACAGGAGAATCAACCGAGAAGGATAGATGGATTGGAAGGTGAGAATGGTGTGGTATTGCACGCGTGCGCAATGGGTTGTTGTTATTGTAGTAGGAAGGGGAAGATAGGACTTTTTGTGTTGATTCAGTAGAGGGTTTTGTACTGTTATCATATTATGATTGTTGTTATTATTATTAGTATTTTCGGTTGTTTTGTAAATGTTAGGGATGTGTATTCGATATTAGGAAAATGATAATAAGAATGATTATTCTTTAGATGAGTTAGATAAACACTGGTTGGTGATGTCTTGTCGTGTCGGAAAAATTTGTATTAAAAAGAATTGAGAAAATGTGTGGAAAAATAAGAAATTGAGATTATTTAGGTATTGATGTGTTCATTGCTGTTATTTGTTTAGGAGTGGGCGTTCGATCGATCGCGGCTGGGGATAATCATTCAACGTTCCTCGACGATCTAGGTCGGGTCTGGCTGTGTGGCACGTATAAGGTGGGTAGAGCTTGGGGGAAAGTGGGCGCTCGAATTGGTGATATATGAGTGGGGAAAGCGAGTGAAAATTGGGGAAAATCGGGAAAAATCGGGGGAAAATTGGGAAAAAATTAGAAAAAAATCGGGAAAAATCGGGGAAAATTGGGGAAAATTGGGTCGGTTGCCGAATGAGTAGGGATAGCGGAGTTATGGTAGGAAAATGGGAGGTGGTAAATTCCATTTATGCCAACGTCTTTGGGGGAAGGGGTTATCTGCTCCTGGGGTTCAAATCGTCAACTACTATTTGGTTTGAATTTCAACAAATTTTGTGGATAATTTTCCCTCTCTTT